TGTACTCAATTTCTATTGAACCCTGCTTTTTGGCGCGTGCCTCAACTCGCGTAGGAGAGGGGGTGGGACCCACTGGCACACAGTGGGTCCCACTCCCCTCTCCTGCGCGAGTTGAGGCGCGCACTAAAGCGCGTGCCAAAAAGTTTTTTCGATTTCTATTATGGTGCATTGTTGTTAACACGGTCCAACCCAAATTGGCCGCTCCTCGTTGCCACTACTTGGAGTTTTCACTGTACGTCACTGATTCTCTGTACTATTTTACTAGCCTCTGTACTCATTATCAAGTCTCTATACTCATCCTATGTCTATATACTCGCTCTACACGTCTACATACTCATCTATTAGTCTCGTTCTTATTTAGAGTCTTTGTACTTCTCTGTACTCATTTTAGTGTCTTTGTGCTATATGTACGGGTCTCATATTTCTTTTATGGAATGCATTTGTGTAAAAGATAATAGCTTCATCTTTGACATTTTTAAAATTAATTCACACATGAGCAAATGGATGAAAAACTTAAAAAAGTACGGTTTTTTTCAACTTTGAGAAGAATACATAGATTCAAAATTTTAAGGTGTGAAAATAATTTTTATTTTTATTTTTATTCTTATCTCTCTTGTTAGGATGAATCCACTGACGAAACATCCCTTTACTTTTCATTAACATTATGAAATTCAATGACCTTTTCTTTTTTGAGTAAAAATTTCACTGAGTTTTTCCTAACCTACTTAACTATGCTCTCTATCTAGTATAGGATGACTAAGGTGATTTAGGATCTTGGTTCTATTGTTGGCTGATATTGATGTCAGAAACTTTTACCAGCCCCGTGCAGTGGTTTAATCTCAGATGTTTATCTAAAGAAAAGGAAAAAACAATCTAGCATCACTAGAGATCAATTTCTTTCTCACATTGTTTACTTATGTTTATCTAAAAGAAAGGAAAAAAATTCTAGCATCTTTCACTAGAGATCAATTTCATTCTCACATTGTTTACTTCTATCAAACTTCTTGATACATAAATAACAAAAGAGGTGGTAAAACATGTCAAATCACACATCAAATTACAAAGAGAAACACATAATATTATAAAGTACGTGACATATCTTCCAATATAACTAGAAAGTATACGTTTATCTGATACGTTCAGTTGTTGTTAGTGTCCGAAAAGAGCCGGTTGAGTGCAGGCATGACTTCGGGACGGCGGTGACTGAGAAATTTGCGAAAGCTGTGCTGGCTGTACTTCTCCCCTTCTTCAGCATTCTCCAGCACTGCCATCGTTCGATGAGCTTTGTTGATCCTGTAAAATTCCGTAACCAAGACTAATTAACCAAAAATAAGTCATAGTTAGACGTTTTATGTGAAAATAAAACTGACTTTCTACATTGGATCAGGTCTCAAAATAAACATACTATTGTCTATGTTCATTTACATAAACTCGATAGCTTTGTACCTGACATCAGGATTCATGAGAACATTGCGAGTGAGCTGGAAAGCACAGAGACCTGACACGAAGGCCATGGCAGCCATCAACGGATACACCTCCGGTTTTATCCAACGACCCATCTCTCACACACACACACACTCTCTCTCTTTCTATAGGTATCTCAAGCTAATTAGCCTTTCAACAATGCTGACTGTATAGTGGTTATATTTGCTAGTATTGGTGACAGTTGAAGCTACGCGATCCATGTTAGATCTAATAAAAACTTGAGATATAAACCTTAAAGCCATGATTAATTCATAGAGATTAATAAGAATCAAAAGGTGCGGAAGAATATACCTGAATCCATTGAAGAAAACCTGATTAGGGTTTTGATGATCTTCTAACCTTAGGGTTTCTCTAACCAAATTTCTCTCTAGATAGGGGTGAAGAGAATTAGAGAATGTAACCCTATGTTAGGGACCATAACCCCTTATTTATAGGTGTTGTATATTTGTAATTTGGTCCCTCATCAAATTACAATTACAACCTGGTATCTGCACATATAACCCCATGATTATATTTAAATACCTATTAACCCAAATTGATTGATCACTTTAGTGGGTTATTCTGAAGGATAGCAATACACACAGATTAATCATATGTGCCCACAAATAGATTTAATTATATTTAAATCCAACAATCTCCTACTTGGGCACCATATGACTCCTTAAATTGTGCATAACCTTATGAGCTCAAATTGCTATCACTGAAAAGGTATTTCCAAACAATATTGTCCATTGACTATATCAATATAGGATTAAAGCGGCCTACTCACATTTATCGTGACTCGACCCATCAATGGTCACATATACCAATACAATCAAACGACATAGATCAATCATGGATATACAGCATGAAAATTACATGCAATGTGATCAGTACATGTCTATTTTTAACTGGTCCTACTTTAGTGAGGTCAAAACCAAACATAATGTAACAGAGTGTCTTAACTGAATACTTTATTCTGATCAGACAATACAACCAAACATAAAGCACCACAATTACAAACTCCCACTAAAACATAATATCCTCAAATAATACCACACCCATATGAGCAGTATGCTCATGAAAGACCTTAGGTGGCAATCCCTTAGTAAAAGGATCAGCTAACATGGAGTTTGTCCCAATGTGCTCTATGGATATCTGTCCACTCTGTACCCTTTCTTTCACAACCAGGAACTTAATGTCAATATGTTTTGACTTAGTTGAGCTCCTGTTGTTATTGGAATACATTACTGCAGATTTATTGTCACAATATAACCTTAGTGGTCTTTCAACATTTTCCAAAATGCGCAGTCCCGTGACAAAATTTCGCAGCCATATTCCCTGATTGGATGCCTCATAGCAAGCTACAAATTCTGCTGCCATAGTGGAGGAAGCTACTAGTGTTTGTTTGACACTTTTCCATGATATAGCTCCTCCTGCTAACATATAAATGTAGCCTGATGTAGACTTCCTGCTATCTTGGCATCCAGCAAAATCAGAGTCCGAATACCCAATGACCTCTAATTTCTCTGATTTTCTGTATGTGAGCATGTAATCTTTTGTTTTCTGAAGATACCTCATAACCCTTTTGACTGCTATCCAATGATCCATACCAGGGTTGCTTAAGTATCTGCCTAACATCCCAACAATGTACGCAATATCCGGACGCGTACATACCTGAGCATACATTAGACTTCCTACAGCCGAAGCATAAGGAATCTTCTGCATTTCCTGAATTTCAAGGTTACCTTTAGGGCACTGATTGAGACTAAACTTGTCTCCTTTAGCAACAGGGGTGTCACCTGGTCTGCAATCTTGCATGCCAAACCTTTTAAGTACCTTATCGATATAGCTCTTTTGTGATAATCCAAGAATACCCCGAGAGCGATCTCGATGTATCTGGATCCCTAATATAAAAGAGGCGTCCCCAAGATCTTTCATCTCAAAATTCTTTGATAGAAATCTCTTGGTTTCGTGCAACATGCCTATATCATTAGTGGCAAGCAAGATGTCATCCACATACAGAACCAGAAAAATATACTTACTCCCACTGAACTTGTGATATACACAGTCATCAACAATGTTCATCTCAAAACCGAACGAGATAACTATTTGTTGAAACTTATGATACCATTGACGAGGAGCTTGCTTGAGTCCATAGATGGATTTCCTTAATTTGCAAACCATATTCTTTGGGTCTCCTGACACAAAGTTTTCTGGTTGCACCATATAAATCATCTCATCAATGTCTCCATTGAGAAATGCAGTCTTA